TTGGGATCGTTTACGTCTCCCATGTCAATTTCGAATTTGTGTGTTTGTTGGGATTGTTGAAGTCTTTTGTTGGCACGGTTCAATGTCCGGAATGTTTTCTCGGGGTCTGAGAGTCCTTCAAGTAGTTCTCCATTCCTCGTAGAATTTCTAGGCATACACCTGTGTAACCAGATCAACAACCGTCAAAATTTCAATGGAAAATTGGGTAGAGAGAAAACTGACCACACTAAGAATTTTTGTATTTCTATCAATGGTAATTGATAATTCTGTTAAATCCCCGGCAACGGCGCCAAAATTTGATCACGCCCAACTATGCCCTCTAAAAAGGACTCTGCGGACGTTGCAAATATAACCCGAGTATTACGCCCAGGGTCGAATCCACAGAGAGTTAACCTATCAATCACTATCTTTAGACCCACTAAACTCTTCAGAACCAGTTTTTCAGATGTTTGAATTATAGTTGGAGGTCGCTTTACTAACTACGATTGCAAGTAAATTAAACAGCTGTAAATTAAAATGCTAAGGTTGTAAACAATGATGAGAAGAAGCTAAGGCAATTATTTCCCCTATTGAAGGAATCCCTTCTGTTTATGCTCATACAAATTTACCAACACATTTCTATCAATCATGAACGCTCATCTTACCGTAAATCTCTCCCGAGTAATCACAGTAATATACTAATTGCACTCTCCCGAGATACACTAGCTTACTTTATTTAGCACAATTCACTTTAGATTACACCCAAGGCTTCGTTATCCCTAATCCCGCCTTTAAACCCGCGATTATAGATTCCTCTTATACTTTGGGAGTGGTGTTGTTCAACAATAACCTAAATATGCACTCTTTTCCAAGTTATGCACACTAAATAGGCACAGCTAATTGAGGATCCTGTCAATTAACTACAACAAGCACAAAGTTGAACAAATAGAGATTGAAACTAGCAATTTGTATTCACATAAACAAGATGTTCATCCCCCAATAAGTTCCATCAAAGCCTTAGACAAAGGATTTAGCTACTCATGGCTATGGGAAAACAAACTAAGATAGAATTCATCATAACTAGCAATAAAAATCAAAGAAAAGAAGAACTATGTTTTTGGGTATTCTCTCACAATAGTTTTTCTTGCCAAATACTCTAAAATTCAATACATGCCTCTCTTGGGCGAAGTCTCGGATTTAAAATAGGGTTTAGGTCTAAAAATCTCATGTTTTACACTTTAGTCCCTGAAGTTTTCTGCTTCCGCCGCGGTTCTGCCGCGATCGCGGTCAAACCGCGGCCAAATGCCTTCTCTGAATCTCAATTTATCCGCAGCTCTCTTCCACCGCAGTTCTACCGCGATCGCGGTGGAACCGCGGTCAACACAGCTCTCTGAATCTTCAGGCCTGTTTTGCGTGGTTTACTTGGGGAATTTCACAGTTGGCCTCTTTTTCTTCATTTTTGACTCCAAAAGTACTCCCTAGCCTTCCCTGGTCATATATCACCTGCAAATCATGAAAAACACTAATAAGAGCATTTTGTTATCACTTTCATCATCAAAACTATACAAGAAGGTGGTTATTTAAGGCGTGATTATAGTTAAATTCACCTATTATCAAAGAGTCAAATAAAAAAACATTGACAAATTTTTTTGTAAATAATTTTTAAATATTTTAAATTATTAATTATTATGACTTATATTACTTTTTATGTAGTTTCTAAATATTTAAACTTTATTTCAAAAAAATTGTAAATTTTATGTCCAAATTTATAGCTAAAAATCATCAATTTAACCCTCGTACTCCGAAAAAGTTCACATAAATTGGAACAGATGGAGTAGAATATTTAAAATGATGTAAAGTATATAACTTATAAGAATGAACTTTAATGTGATATTTCAGAAAAATAACAAATAAGAGTCAGCTCCATTTCTGTACTATCAAGTTCCAAACTTAGGAGAAGGAAAAAAATAATGAAAGTGGAAAAAATAAATGAGGAGCCGGAAATTTTCCTTGGAGATGATCTATTTTCCACAAGTTGAATTGCCAGTCTGCCTAATTTCTATAGTGGACAACGAAAAGTATTTTAAAAAGACTAATATAAATCCAAAACCGTTGATAGGAAAACCACATTGTACTATGAACTTCTCCAGTATTTCTTGTTTCTTTCTTTCTTTCTTTTCTTAGAATTATTGTGAAACCGTAAAATACAGAGAGTTTTAAGTTATATATTATCACTATAAGGAATTTTAACATCATCAATGCTCATCTTTAATTGCTATAGGAATTGTTACGCCGGTAGGCGTGTACATGGATCGGGTTGGTTCGATTTTTATGACAATCAAACCAAACCAACTATATCGGTTTGGATTGGTTCGGTTTTGCCGGATTTTTCGGAATTTTTTGTTTCATAAATATTATTTCAGTCTTACTTTGTTAAATTTTTGATAAATAAACATATGTATAGTAAAATTGAAAAAATTGTCAAATGTGTGATCTATTAACATATTCTTATGGGAGAATTTTCTTAGTAACATATGATAGTTATTTTTCTAGTCGTCTTACAATATATAATTTTTCGTTGATATACACTTTCAAGGTTAAATGAATTTAATAATTAAACATAAAATCAATATGATACCTATATAATAGTATGTTCTATTTAATTTTAAATTATCGAAATACCACTGTAAATTCAACACATGAATATGGAAGAATAAAGAGATTGACGCATTTCATTAGCACTTGATAAGAAAGTGATCATACAGCCCATTATTTAAAGTTAATAAAGATAGAGCACTTCATTTTTTACTAAATATTACATCCCATTAGAGAGAATCTTAAATATTTCTAGACATTTTTTAAAGAAAATTCTATGAAAAAGTCTTAAAAGTATATATAAAAATTATAGATTTATATTTCGGTTTGGTTCGTGTTTTTTACTTAATACCAAACCAAATCAAACCAAACCTAGTCGGATTTTTTAATCGATTTGGTTTGACTTTTCGGTTTGGTGCGGTTTTTCTGTTCGGTTTGTACACCCGAAGTAGCTCACCTTTAACTGCTGAAGAAATTTTTGCATCATCAGCTCATCTTTACGTGTTATAACAAGTAATTTATTTTATTTTTGAAATTACAAATTTTACACTTTAAAAAGACCTCTGGATATTCTTTGAACGATCGTAAAGAATTATTTACGGTGATGGTATATAACTTAAACTCATGACAAATATTACTGCAGGTGCAAAAAGGACTTTTTAAATCTAGAAAAGTTGAAAAGGTCAAATGGACCGGATTCTGTTTTTTCTACCCTAGAACAATATTACTGCAGATGCAAAAAAAAGTCTTTTACTCTAGAAAAGTTTGAAAATGTCAAATGGACCGGGTCTACTCTCGAATACAGATTTATGTACTTTTTAAAAATAAATTACTGGATAAACATAATATTCGATAATCCTTTGTTAGATGTCTCTGCCAAAACTAGACTTGAAAATGGTGGAAATATTTATTTAATTCAACTACTCAAGTCACTTGTTATATTGAATTTTAAAACCATTCCGATCCGAAACTTGTTAGAGACACAAATACTCTTCTTTCCGCTGGTTCATTTTATATAAAGATGTTTAATTAGCACATATGTTAAGAAACAAGGAAAGACATTAAAAAAAATAAAAGACATTTGATACATAAGTTAAATTTATGCACCTCCCGTCCCATTTATGTGATATAATTTGATTGGGTACGAAGTTCCAGAAAGAACAAAAATCATTGAAACCCGTGACCTAAAAGAAATCACAAACATTTGTGTGACAATAATTTATCTTATTTAATAATAAAATAAAAAATTTAAAGTTAAATTATTTTTAAATATTAAAAAAGGGCGTCATTTTCTGGGACATATTAGAAAAGAAAAATATCACATAAATTGGGCCCAATTGAGTATAGAAATATACGTAAAGTAGAATTTTATGATATTCACCGTATTATTAAGAGCCCGTTTGGACATAAGAAATTTTTTCCTTTTTTTCGAAATTACCGTTTGATCATAAAATTTTCAATTTTCACTTGAAGATGCCTTTTAGAATTTTTCGAAATTTTGAAAAACTCCATAAAGATGATTTTCAAAATTTTTACTCAGATTAGTCACAAAACTTAAAAAACAACCCAAAATTATATTCATGTCCAAACACAACTCTAATTTTCAAATACCATTTTCACTTGAAATTTTTTTTGACTTTTTTTTTGAAATTTTACAATTCTTATGTCCAAACGCCCAATAAATGTAAAAATTAGAAAGTAAAAAAAAAATTCAAAATATAAAAAATTGTTAATGGGCGAAGTGTCTCACTCATGAGTCAAATTGTAGAAATTTTGGTTTTGTTGACTTGACATACAACATTCTATTTCAGCACGATAACATGTTTTCTCTTCTCAGCTTAGTGCAACAACCAACCATGGAAGTCAAAAATAAAAAAATTCTCATACTATTCGGAGCTAACACAAACAGTACTACTACGAACCAGAAATTAATTGTCCCTTGGAGATACCCTTTCTGCAGAGAAATCCATAACAATTGGCGTAACAATTATCTCTTCCAGTGGAATATTTGAGATGGGTTTCTTTACAGTAGGTAATCTTTCCAACTATTACATAGGTATATAGAGAGACTCCACTTTCTTTTTCCGAAATGGACTCCACTTTCTTTCCAGGGCTCTTTTCCCTTGGGACGGAGCCTAACGGTGAATTCATTATTAGGTGGAACAAGACTGTAAAGTATTGGTCTACTGGACCTTGGAATGGACATACATTTGGCTCGTTGCCTTTGAGACCAAATTCAAAGTACAACTACACATTTATAAACAAACTAGCTGCTTCTGAATTTTCAGTTCCCAAAGGTATTCCAAAATTATTAAGGAGCAAGTTTAGTAGAGTCTTGCAGATCGGTATAGAGACGTCTGTACTTATCTTCGAGAGGCTACAGGACTGTTAGGAGAACTTTCCTTCTTGATTCCTTGTCGTGCTATTTGATTCATTTCCTTCCTACTCGTTCTTAAGCGATGTTGAGTGCACTTTATCTCTTTTGTTACAACAGTTGCAGGCCAAACGCACAAATCAAGAAGGCTAAAAGTTGCTCTTCCTACTACAATTGCCACTACTCTTTTTCTATGCACCTTTATCTACCTATTTTATAGAACAAGGAGAGCAAGAACAAAAGGTAAGTGCAAACTCTCTGCTCTTGATAAATTATATATAGAGGTTTAACTCACAATTATATATTCTCCTTTTTTTCTTTCTATTAAGGAAATCCACGGCCGCATTGGTTGAACGGTCAAAAGGGGTCAGGCGACTTAATAAATGAGGAGGATGAGAAAGGCATCGATATTCCATTCTTTAGTTTGGAAAGCATTTTAGCAGCAACAGATAACTTCTCAGAAGAAAATAAGCTAGGACGTGGTGGTTTTGGTTCTGTTTATAAGGTTATTGCAAAGTATCACTTTTCTGTTTGTTAAATCTTATATCTATGAGCTATGTATCTTTTTTTTTTTATTGTAACATAATTTACTTACTAAAATTATTTTCAGGGGAAGTTTCACGGAGGACGAGAAATTGCAATCAAAAGGTTATCAGCCCAATCGGGTCAAGGCATAAACGAATTCAAGAATGAACTAGTATTGATTGCAAGACTTCAGCATCGAAATCTCGTTAGACTTATGGGTTACTGCGTCCAGGGAAATGAAAAGATTTTACTCTACGAGTATATGCCGAACAAAAGTTTAGACACCTTCATTTTTGGTTACTACTGGCATATCATTTCCTTATTAATTCTCAGTATAAACTCCTTTGTTTTATTATTGATTATTACCATTTATGAATGTTGACTGCACAAGACGAAAGACACCATGTGTTATTAGATTGGAAGAAGCGATTTGATATCATTTTGGGGATTGCTCGAGGGCTTCTTTATCTGCACCATGATTCAAGGTTGAGAATCATTCATAGAGATTTAAAAACAAGTAACATATTATTAGATAAAGAGATGAACCCCAAGATTTCAGATTTTGGCTTAGCAAGGATAGTGCAAGGGAATACTACAGAAGCAAATACAAACAAAGTTGTTGGAACATAGTAAGTTCTACTTCTAGCTAGCTGCAATAATACCAATTTTAGTACTAGAATACATTTAAATCCAATCACTTCTCAAATTTTTGGTGCAGTGGTTATATGTCTCCAGAATATGCATTAGATGGATTATTCTCAATCAAGTCTGATGTTTTTAGTTTTGGAGTAATGATGCTTGAGATTACCTGTGGCAAGAGAAATACGGGATTTTATCAGCGAGAGGAAGCCTTAAACCTCCTAGGTTATGTGAGTGAAAATTTCTAAAATTCCTAAAACCTCTTGATTTTTTCTCTTTGTTTTTTTTAAAACTTCAATTTGGTAACTATATTACCTCTTTGTCCTAACTCTGGAGCTATATTTCAGGCATGGAGATTATGGAACGAAGGAAATGTTGGGTTTTGGATGTATTTAATTAATATATTAAATACTTAAAAGAGGGTGAATGGGAAATGGAGGGAAATGAAATTTTTGAGTGAAATTTTAAGTTCCCCCTTGGCAAATCGGCATTGTCCCATATTGGAAGAGAAGGAGGTTTTTTATGGGTATATAAGCAATTGCTCTTCTTCTAGCTCTTAAAAAGTTGAGAAGAAGGCAAGCCTCGCGCCGTCGTCGTCGTCGCTCGCTCGGCTTCAACTTCGGCTTCGGTTGATTGATTAACTTTTTGGACCAAATTTATTTGTTAATAATAAAATATTAACAGAAATGTTATTAAATATTTGTTTTAATAACAAAATATTAATATTAAGTATTAATCAATTTTCCCTCTTTATTTTCCCTCTTTATTGTTGAGTAAATGACCATTTATGTAATGACATTTATGTTGTGGGCGTTTTGCATAAACAGCCATTCTGAAGAGTTGCACCTCTTCAGATTTCAACCCAACTTTGGCTATAAATACAACGCTATTCTGCTCAGAATTTCACTACGATTTTCTGAGTTTCTTCTCCTTCTTCTGCATACTTTTAGCATCAAACAAAGCAAAAAGTAAGTGTGATTTGCTACCGAACTTTGTGTTCGCTGAAACGCTGGGGTTTGAAGTACCACTACACCAGTGTGTAATTCGTTCTATCCTGGGAGGAAATAATCCATAACCTTGGGTACTAGGAGGAGATTAAATTCCTTAAGGAAACACTGTGAATTCAGTGGGCTCGAATTGGTTTTATGTCATTTCTGTTTATGTTCATTTCTGTTTATATTCATTTATATTTCCAGAATTATTTTACAAATACAGTATAATAACAAGCTTAAGGAATTTAATATATTTTCTGTATTTGTACTTACTGTTTCTGGAAGAGTTTGTGGTTTTGTACTCTATTAAAATCTACGTGATTTTAACGTTTGTGTCATTCTTTTACAGAAATGACTAATGAGAATGAGAACCAAGCTGTTCCAATGGTGACTCCCAATGCCTCAAAAAGCCGAACGACACCGGCAGCATTGGCACCGGCGAAAAAACCCGGGAAATTTTCCGGGATTGATTTCAAGCGCTGGCAGCAAAAGATGTTCTTCTATTTGACTACTCTAAGTCTCCAGAAGTTCATCAAGGAAGATGTTCCTGTGCTGTCCGATGAAACTCCAGAAACTGAACGCTTTCTCGTGATTGAGGCGTGGAAGCATTCATATTTTTTGTGCTAGAATTATATTCTAAGAGGGCTGGAGGATGCTTTGTATAACGTCTACAGTGGCGTGGAAACGTTAAAGGAACTGTGGACTGCGCTTGAAAAGAAATACAAAACCGAAGATGCCGGGTTGAAAAAGGTTGTTGCTGCAAAGTTTTTGGACTACAAAATGGTAGATAGCAAGTCTGTTATTACCCAAGTCCAGGAATTGCAAGTGATTATTCACGATCTCCTTGCTGAAGGTATAAATCAAATTAATATTGATGTTGAAAGTAATAATCTTAGTATTTTTACTAACAAAAATTTCATTGAAGGTCTTGTCATCAATGTAGCATTTCAAGTAGCAGCAATGATTGAGAAGTTGCCTCCTTTGTGGAAGGACTTCAAAAACTACTTGAAACACAAATGCAAGGAGATGTCCCTTGAAGATCTCAATGTTCGGTTGAGAATCGAAGAGGACAACAAAGATGCTGAAAAGAGAGGCCGTGGAAACTCAACAATAATGGGAGCAAATATTGTTGAAGAGAACAAAAAGAGGAAGAAGGCTTCTGGACCGAAATACAACCCAAGCAAGAAGCGGTTCAGTGAAAACTGCTACAACTGTGGAAAAACCGGACACAAATCTACGGAGTGTCGTGCTCCGAAGAAAGACAAGAAGAAGGGTCAAGCAAACATGGTTGAAAAGCATGATGATGTTGATGATTTATGTGCCATGCTTTCCGAATGCAACTTGGTGGGCAATCCTAAAGAGTGGTGGATTGATTCTGGAGCCACTCGCCATGTTTGTGCTGTTAGAGAAGCTTTTGCTTCTTATGCTCCTGTTGGACCCGATGAGACGATTTCTATGGGAAATGCTTCAAAGGCGAAGATTGAAGGATGTGGGAAGATATTTCTCAAAATGACTTCCGGCAAAGTGGTGACTTTGAACAACGTCCTTCATGTTCCCGAGATTAGGAAGAATTTAGTCTCTACTGGACTTCTTGTTAAGAATGGTTTTAAATGTGTTTTTGTTTCCGATAAGGTTGTAATAACTAAGAATGAAATGTTTGTAGGAAAAGGTTACCTCACTGAGGGCCTTTTCAAGTTGAATGTAATGGTTGTTGAAAATAATAATAAAATTTCAGCTTCGTCTTACTTACTTGAGTCAAATGGATTATGGCATATACGTTTGGGTCATGTCAATTATAAAACCTTACGGAAAATGATTAATTTGGAAGTATTGCCCAAGTTTGAATGTGACAAATCAAAATGTCAAGTACGTGTGGAATCTAAGTATGTTAAACATCCTTATAAGTCGGTTGAAAGGAATTCAAATCCTTTAGACTTAATTCACACAGATATTTGTGACATGAAGTCAATACCATCTCGCGGTGGAAAAAAGTATTTCATAACTTTTATTGACGATAGTACTCGATATTGCTATGTTTACTTACTTAATAGTAAAGATGAAGCAATAAACGCATTCAAGCAATACAAAAATGAAGTTGAAATGCAACTTAATAAGAAAATCAAAATGATAAGAAGTGATAGGGGTGGTGAATATGAATCTCCTTTTGAACAAATATGTTTAGAATATGGAATTATTCATCAAACAACGGTCCCTTACACGCCCCAATCCAATGGGATTGCAGAAAGAAAGAATCGTTCATTAAAGGAGATGATGAACGCATTATTGATAAGTTCTGGTTTGCCACATAACTTATGGGGTGAAGCCGTTCTTACGGCTAGCCGAATACTAAATCGAGTACCCCATAGCAAAACACAATCCATTCCATATGAAAAATAGAAAGGAAGGAAGCCCAACTTGAATTATTTTAAAGTGTGGGGGTGTTTGGCAAAAGTGCAAGTTCCTAAACCCAAAAGGGTAAAAATAGGACCGAAAACCGTTGGTTGTGTTTTCATAGGATATGCGACTAATAGTAAAGCATATCCATTTCTGGTTCATAAATCAGAAAATCCCGACATTCATAATAATACGGTTATAGAATCAGATAATGCTGAGTTCTTTGAAAATATATATCCGTATAAAAAGGAATGTGAGTCGATTGGTGAAGGATCTAAACGACCCCGGGAAGAAACAAAAGAAAGTACACTTAACCATGTGGGGGATTGTTGGATTTTGGATGTATTTAATTAATATATTAAATACTTAAAAGAGGGTGAATGGGAAATGGAGGGAAATGAAATTTTTGAGTGAAAGTTTAAGTTCCCCCCTTGGCAAATGGGCATTGTCCCATATTGGAAGAGGAAGAGGTTTTTTATGGGTATATAAGCAATTGTTGTTCTTCTAGATCTTAAAGAGTTGAGAAGAAGGCAAGCCTCGCGCCGTCGTCGTCGTCGCTCGCTCGGCTCGACTTCTACTTCGGCTGCGGCTACGGCTTCGGCTTCGGCTTCGGATTTGGATTTGGTCAAATGATCGATTGATTGATTGACATTTTGGACCAAATTTATTTGTTAATAGTAAATTATTAACAGAAATGTTATTAAATATTTGTTTTAATAACAGAATATTAATATTAAATCCAATCCGTTTTTCTGTTTTGGTAACAGAAAAGTAACTACCCCTCAATTTTTCCTTTTTATTTTCCCTCTTTATTGTTGAGTAAATGGCCATTTATGTAATGGCATTTATGTTGTGGGCGTTTTGCATAAACAACCATTCTGAAGAGTTGCACCTCTTCAGATTTCAGCCCAACTTTGGCTATAAATACAACACTATTCTGCTCAGAATTTCACTACGATTTTTTGAGTTTCTTCTCCTTCTTCTGCATACTTTTAGCATCAAACAAAGCAAAAAGTAAGTGTGATTTGCTACCGAATTTTGTGTTCGCTGAAACGTTGGGGTTTGAAGTACCACTACACCAGTGTGTAATTCGTTCTATCCTGGGAGGAAATAATCCATAACCTTGGGTACTAGGAGGGGATTAAATTACTTAAGGAAACACTGTGAATTCAGTGGGCTCGAATTGGTTTTTTGACATTTCTGTTTATGTTCATTTCTGTTTATATTCATTTATATTTCCAGAATTATTTTACAAATATATATATATATATATATATATATATATGAACAGCTCGACAGATTTGCTGGGGAGCTTTGAAATCACTTCTCTGTACATGGTATCAGACGTCCAGTACAATCCAACTGTCCTACCACTTTCTTTTACCTATTTCACGCTACTATGGCTTCCCAGTCGCATACTCCCCCTTCTTCAGATGTCTCGCTTCCTTTTCCTACAACAACTGTTGCAACTACGCAATCGAAATCAGATATTTCGTCATCTGTTTCAATTCCTCCTTTGCCTTCATTACAACACTCTTTCTCCCCTTCACTCTATTCCTCCTAGTATTCGACCAGGTTCATCTATAGGACAGATTGGTCTGCTTTCTCTCGCACCTTATGCTGGAATAATAGAACCAACAATTCCATCCCCTTTTTCATTCTACTGTGGCATTGGCTGCACCTAAAGTCACTAACTTGGTGACTATCAAGCTTAATCCCGTTGAAGATTATCTCACTTGGCGTACTCAATTCACCTCCTTGTTGATCTCTCATGAACTCCTTGGCTTTGTAGATGGTTCTACACCTCAACCAACTCAATTGTTATGTGATGTCTCTGGTAACCAGCAAGTTAACCCACTCTATCGTTCATGGGTCAGAGTTGATCAAAGTGTGCGATCGTGGTTGTTTGCAACATTGTCTGGCGAGGTCGTTGTTGACGTTCACTTGTTACCTACATCACGTGATATTTGGATATCCTTACAAAGACGTTTTATGGATTCTAGTCAGGCTAAATCAATAGAACTTAAGCGACAACTTACTACCATGCGCAAAT